AAAATGATGTTGACAAAACTGAGATCACCCCTATGTATGATGTATTTTAAGATGATGTTGACACCATTTTTTGTTGGGGGAGAAGGTTGACATAAAATAGTCTCCATAATAGTAATTTATTGTTCTTTGAAGCATTTCCAAAGTTATGTCTCAGCCAAATTCGATTAAACACAAATTTATCAATGTTTATGTGAGATAAATTACGTCTCCAAAAAAATTCAGATGTAAAACGTGAGAGAAAAAATCAAATAACATAAGAAATGTAATAAAACTGATAGAGTTTTTTTTTAAAAATGCACTTGGTATTCTTCGGTTGAATCTTCCCATTGACGTTTAGGTCTGCAGTTGATCAGTCTATTATTAGGTTCGAGTCCCAGAGTAAACACCAACTCTGAGATGAAGGTACATCCAGCTGACGAGTCCCAAATAGGACGAAACGTGCGTCGTGGATTCCACTGCTAGCCACTATCCATCTTTGCTGATAATGTTATAGTTTTTGATTGAGATCATGAATCGCTTGGTGTTAGACCACCATTAAGGACGTAGAAGCACTAGACAGCTGTTACGTGTCCTGATACGGCCAAGAATGGGGAGAATCCGTTCTCCCTCTCGAAACGCTCTCACATGGCCTCGTGTATACAGTCACTGAAAGGGTAGTCCTACTCACTGCCTTTTCTCAGCGGGGTTGTTGGTTACGAAATTGAATGGAAGAAAAGCAAATATTCGGCGCTTAAACCATCTTCCATTACCTGAAGGTCCTGGCTTGCAATCCCGAGTGAGGGATTGTGGATGTGCACTGTAGAGGAGTCCCATACTAGGGTGAAACGGTTGTTCAGTTCTTCCAGGTTTCCCACGGTTGTCTAGCTTCAATTGTCTCATGATCTCAACTATATATAATTAATATAGATTTGGAACTTATCATTACATAATGATTTACATACTTAGTATGGAATAGATGAACCAGTATTTGATCAAGGTATACAAGGTAGAATAAGTAATTATATCTCTTCAAAAATGAAGTAATTCATGTTCTGTTTTAATTTATTACTTAATATTGAAATGTCAGATAAAAGTAGTACATATACAATGAACTAAAAAAACACTGTGATAATCTCATTATAGAATTGAACTATCGAAATCATTTGTTATATGTAAAATAAAATTGATCATATTTCAAAATTTTTCTGTTTCATTACAGAAATATGAATGAAATTTAAGTAAAGTTCAATGACATTTATATGTTTTTTGATTGAGATTATGAATCGATTGATGTTAGACCGCCAATGGAAACCTGGAAAGATTGAACAGCCGTTTCGTTTTAGTATGGGACACATCCATGATCCCTCCTCGCGATATTCGTGAGATAGTAACTCACTGAAGACAAAGGTGAATATATCGTTCAATGTCGTGGATTGGTTAAAGTTAGACATTCACACTGTTGGATACTGACCAGCTCAGTGGTTCTAGAGGTTAAGCGATCGCGTGCGGGACTGGTAGGTTCTGGGTATGAATCACGTGAGGCGGAATCGTAGATGCGCACTGTTGACGATTACCACAATAGAGCGAAACGGTAGTGTAATGCTTCCAGGTTTTCCATAATAGTCTAACTTCAACTAATTCATGATGTCAACTATTAAAATAACTATATACCTTTTAAGCAATTGATTCATATCTATGTCAATGAATATCACTTATTTGATACAAAAGACTTTTCTAATCAAGTGTATTACATAGCATCTATATTTTCATTGTTAATTTGAAAAGTTATTGAATGGTGTGATTTTAATATTGTTCTTTAGAGAAAAAAAACAGAACAATGATGCCTAAACATAAATATTTATAGGCTATTTAAGAAATCCTTCAAGTTTTTTTTACTCACATTTGACTGACTATAAAATATAATTATGAAAAAATCAGGATTATCTAATTTACATTAGGTCAATCATATGAGATAATGTAAAAATTACTCTATTGTAGTTTAGCTTTAAAAAATATCTATAATACATATTGACAAAAAAAGTAATCAAATCAATGACGGATGATAGGTAATAGTGAATCGATGAAATACGTTTTGTTCTATTTAAAACTCGTCAGTTGGATTTTTCTATATCTCACTGTTAGCCATGATCTATCTTTGGTTAACAATGCTTGTAAATTAAGGCTATATTAAGGCAATCTGCACAGTATGCACATATGCCAATAAGAGAGAGACTGATCAATTGCAGTTCTAAACATCAATGGGAAGATATAAGTAAACAGTGCCAAGTGAATTTAAAACTTCACGACATTGAACAAGCAAATGGCTATCAGGACACAGTAGCCAAGTGGATAACGCGATGGTGTTCGAAGAGAACAATGCTAATTTCGAGTCCGAGAGTAAACATCAACTCTGAGATGCAAGTACATCTAGCTGACGTGTCCTAAATAGGATGAAACGCGCATCCTAGATTCCACTGCTAGCCACTATCCATCTTTAATTATAAAGCTTGTGACTTAAGGCAATATCGAGGCCGTACGCATAATATGTACGTACACCAACAGGAGACTCATCAATTAAAGTCTTAAATATCAATGGGAACATCCAGGTAAGCAATACCAAGTGTTATCAGAAGGGGTTTTGTGGACGTTATAGTAATTTTCATAGTTGAAATCATGAGTCAATTGAAGCTAGACCACCATGGAAAACGTGGAATTACTGGACGGCGATTTCGTCCTATTATGCGACTCCTCAGCAGTGCGAATCCACAATGCCGTCTCACGAGATTGGAACCCAGGATCTATCAGTTTCGTGCGCGTGTGCTTAAGTGTATTATCTATTATGTTTTGTGCTTTTTTTTTCTCCCCTACGAATAAGTTGTAATAATAGTATAATGACACTAAAGTTTGATATGAATATTATTTTTTTATTTTATACCACCCCTCCACAATGAACTATAGATTTAGTAGCTTAATAAAAAAAACTTTTATATATTCAAATGATTATGTAATGTATGATTATGTAATCATTTATAAAGTAATCTATACACTATATATCATATGTTCCATAAATCATTCATTCTTTTAAATAAAAACAACGGTTAGTTACCATGGTTTTTCAATATTGAAAAATGTTACATTCAAAATGATGTAAGATTATCGAAAAAATAGGTCATTATATCATAAAAATTAAAAAAAACAACTGATATTTCATTTTTATGTTAATCTATTTGAAATATAACTTTATAATAAGAATATTTATATCTTACAGGATTGCCTTAGGTCATAAGCTTTAAAAGCAAAAATAGATAAAGACTAGCAATGGAATCCATGATGTGTGTTTCGTCTTATTTGGGACTCATCAGTTGAATGTACCTGCATCTCAGAATTGGTATTCATTCTGGAACTCGAACCCAGAATTGTTCGCTTCAGACGACATCACGTTATTCACTTAGTTAATGATATGATATAGATAATCAAATTGATGTTTTTTTTCTCTTTTTCAATGAAAAATTCTATAGGTTAAGCGTTTATATATGAGACCAAAGATTTTAAGTTCTAATCTCATATATGGGATCATGGATGTACATTGTTGAAGAGTTTTATACTACAATGAAATAATCATCAAAATACTTTTAGATTATCAATGATAATCTAACATTAATCGATTCATAAAACTTTAACAATCATAAAATATTATAATTTATTTATTAATTTCAAATCTCGTGAGGTTGGATCGTGGATGTACACTGCTGAAGAGTCTCATAATAGAACGAAATGGGCGTTCAATGCTTCCAGCTTTTCCATGATTGTCTAGCTTCAATTGACTCATGATCTTGACTATATAAAAATTATTAAAATCTACACTAAACCCCCCTTCTGATAATTTCGATAGTATAATAAGAAGACGTAGATTATTACAACTATGTAATGAGATATTAGCGCAATACACTTCGAACAATTTGATTACACATTATATACTTGTTAAGTACAAAGGTCAACTAGAACAAACGTCTTCAAAATAGGATCCAACAATTTTGTTAGCTATTTACTTAGGTTATATGTAGGTGATTCGTATATTGATAAAATTGGGTGTAAAAGAATAGTTTTAATTTAAGAATTTTAAGATAGTTGATATAAATGAGGATACTTAGAACTCATAGGTTTTAAGAAATTAAATTCTTCTTTAACATTAATATTCATATATGGGGTTGTTTGTGGAAATATTTAGTAATTTTTGTATATAGTTGAAGTCATGATTCACTTGAGGCTAGATCACCAAGAAAAACCTGGAAGCACTGGACGACCGTTTCGTCTTAATGTGGAACTTCTCAGCAGTGCGCATCCACAATCCCGTCTCGCAAGAGAGAACCCAGGACATATCAGTCTCACGCGCGAGCACTTAAACACTAGACCACCGAGTCGGCATCCGACGGTGTTAATGTCTAACTTCAATCAATCCACGAAGTTGAGCAATCATTTCACCAATATATTCAGTCAGTTAATATCTCACAACAGACCCGATTGAACTCAACTGGTCACTGCTTCTCACTAGAACTTCAGGGAATAACTCATGGAGTCAGTCACCGGTGAGTATATGTTGATTAATATCAGAAGAGATTTTGAACTGTTTGAATCGTGAATGCGTACTGTTGAGGAGTCCCACACTGAGACGAAACGGCCATTCAGTGCTTCCAGATTTTCCATGGTAGTCTAGCTTCAATTAACTCATAATTTCAACTATATATAAAAATATTCATTTGTAACAATTTTTCCAAGTTTGAACTTACTCCACATTCAATATGAGGCATAAATTTCCTTTCATCACTAAGGATGGATAATATTTTACTCTTATATATATTCCCATTTGTGTCATGATAACCATACCTGATCTTTTATCAGACTTCAACAAGACAATATCAGTGTTTATTCATAGTTCTTATGATACTATCAAAATTTAACAAAACGGTCTAAATGTTTTTTTATAATTAAAAAAAAGAAGAAAAAAAAGAAAATTAACTTACCATCAGGACTTGAATCCATCTTTATGTAATAATAAAATAATTTTCTCCTTTTAATTTATTAAAACAACAACGATGATGACAACGACGTTGACGACGACGACGACGACGATGATGACAACAATAAAAGTTCTTCCTTAATTTTTTTTTAAAATTTTGTTTAACTATTCTTTTTGTATTTAACTTGGTAACAAACAAACGAAAAATTAAAAAAAACAAATTGAATAGTTTCAATGACTATCAATGTTAAATATGGATCAAATGAATCTTTCGTGTTTGGTTTTTTTTTAAATGAAAATTAGACAAGTACATTTATGAATGAATGATACATGTTCATCATAGTGTATACATATAGTTACTAATATGGTTATATATATATATATATATATCCAGACATTGGTTCATCTCATTTCACTGACATGTATATCTATGCATCTATGCATCTATCCATCTATCTATCTATATATGACATCTATATTTGGTTTTTGATAAATGATTACAATTATGAATATGGCGGTGATGATAGTGTAACTAAGAGAAATGAAAAAAAATAAATATAGAGGGAGAGTGATGATATAGTAGTAACTAAATCAATTTTTATCATAGAATAGAATATTAAATCGGAAGGAATTTAGTAGTCAAATTCCACTAGTCTTGAATACATTCATATTATGTATACATGTATATATATATGTATGTATGTTTGTATGTTTGTGTGTGTGTGAGTGTGTTTATCAATGACGTGATGTAAAACAAAAAAAAACAACATTTTTTTGTGTTTTTTTCTTGAATGTAAACATAAAGATAACAAATCGAAATTACCAAAAAAAAAGAGAGAAAGAAAAAAAGAAAGAAAGAAAACCAATTCATTGTTGTTGTTTTTTAATCTTTCTTTTTACTATCGTAAAGATGATAATAATAATAATAATAACATATATTTAATGGTGTTATGATGGAATTGATGTTATGCCTAATCTTTATATAGAACTGATTACATCCAATAAATAATACTATACTATAAACGATCTATCTATCTATCTATCTATCTATCTATCTATCTATCTATCTGTCTATGCTTATCTATATCTATCTATCTATCTACCCACCTATCTATCTATCTATCTCTCTATCTATCTATCTATCTATCTATCTATCTATCTATCTATCTATCTATCTATCTATCTATCTAACAGTCTATCCCCGTCTATTTATTTGTCTATCTGTCAATTTTATCTATATCCATATCTACTTATCTATCTAATCTATCTAATCTATATATATATATATATATATATATATATATATATATATATATATATATACATCGATGAACAAGAAGGATCTGATGCATATGTAAAGACGAGGATTGGTAAAGCAAGGGCAGCATTTCTACAATTGAAAGTCATATGGAACTCAAGACAACCGTCAACTAATTTTAAAGTGAGAATCTTCAATACGAACGTCAAGACAGTCATTTATACTGTATGGAGCTGAAACGTGGAGAACTACTACATCCATCGTTGAGAAGGTACAAGTATTTATAAACAGTTGTCTACGCAAAATACTCAACATCCACTGGCCGGATACTATCAGCAACAGCCTTCTGTGGGAGATGATAAACCAGCTTTTAGCTGAAGAGAAAATTAGGAAAAGACGTTGGAAGTGCATAGGTTATACATTGAGGAAATCACTAAACTCCATCACGAGGCAAGCTCTAACTTGGAATCTTGAAGGGAAGCGGAAAAGAGGAAGACCAAAGAACATATTACGCCGCGAAATAGAAGCAGATATGTAAAGGATGAATGTTAACCGGAAAGAACTGTAAAGGATTGCCCAGGACAGAGTTGGATGGAGAAAGTTGGTGTGCGCCCTATGCTCCTTCACGAGGGGTAACAGGCGTAAGTAATATATATGGGATTCACAACGATCGAAATCATGAATGTCGGTTTTTCATTTTTACCTAACAACATTAACAACCTCTAGGATAGAGATAGATTTGTCATTTGTGTTCACGTAGTTGAGCAGCATTTCATCGCTCATTAGAATGATGTATTGCTTATTATTAAGGAAGCTCTCAGTTTAGTCGTTTGACAGGATTGGTTATTCACTGTTTAGAAATGAGTTTTGTGGAGATTTTAGTAATTTTATATAATTAAAATCATGAATCAATTGAAGCTAGACCACCATGAAAACCTTGGAAGCACTAGACGGCCATTTCGTCTTATTGTGGGACTTCTTTACAGGTCAAGCGCTCACGCGAGAAACTGATAGGTTCTGGATTTAAATCTTACGAGGCGAGATCATGGATGCGCACTTCTGAGTAGTCCTACAATAGAACGAAATGGTCGTCCAGTGTTTCCACGTTGTTTTATGGTTGTCTAGTTTTAAATGACTCATTGTTTCAACTATATATTCACTGTTTCTCAGCTTAGGCTTAGTTCATCACATACTCTATACGAGATATACATAATCAATCAAATCTAACAAACAATACTACACTATTAATGATCTATCTATCTTTTTCTGAGTGCATACTATTATGTAACTATGTAATTCACTTACTTAAGTGTAATACTTAAGTATTTACATTGAAAAATATTCAACTACTTTATTTCTTTTTTAACAATACACACAACAAAAAAAATTTTTTTTGTTTTTTTTACAAGACAAAACAAGTTTACTTTTTTTCTAGCTAAACATGAAAAAAAAATGAAAAAAAAAGAAAAGAAAAGAAAATCATCATAGATTATACTATAAGGTTCACTTAATGATTTATGTTTAATGTATTGAAATACATTCATAACATAGTTACCCTTGATTAGATAAGAATCCTGATGTTTAGAATACAAAAATTACTATTATAATAAATTGTGTATTTTAACAATATGACAAATACTAGTCTCAAGTACATTATAAACAGATTGATGAAGAATACTTTCGTAAGATGAACTAATAATTTATAGTAATTTTAATAGTGGAGATCATGAATCAATTGAAGCTAGACTACCATGGAAAATCTGGAAGTACTGATTGACCGTTTCGTTCTTTTGTGAGACTCATCAGCAGTGAGCATCCATGATTCCGCCTCACGAAATTCAAACCCTGAACCTATCACTTTCGTGCGCGAGCACTTAAACACTAGACCACTGAGCTGGCCGGCATCCAATGGTGTTAATGTCTAACTTCAACCAATCCACGAAATTAAGTAACTATCCACCATTGTGTTCAATGAGTTACTATGTCACGACAGACCTAATTGAACTCCACTGGTCACTGCTTCTCACTAGAACTCCAGGAAATACCACATATAGTTAGTCACTAGTGAGCGTATGATCATTATTAGAAGAGGGTTTTGTGGAGATTTCAGTAATTTTATGGTTGAAATCGTGAGTCAAATGAAGTTAGACTGCCACGGAAAACCTGGAATCACTAGATGGCCGTTTCTTCCCATTGTGGGACTCCTCAGCGGTACACATCCACGATCCCGACTCACGAGATTTGAACCCAGGACTTGTCAGTCTCGTGCGCAAGCGCTCCGCGTCGAGTTGAGACAATTATCTACTTCAGACCATGGATGAATGGTTGGGCAGTCATTCATGAATCGATGGAAGTTTGTTGAATCGGCTTCCGGAGAACTCTAACAGAGCCTCCAGAGGCTCAAAAAGAGCCCCAATCAATCAGAATACGATGGAACATTCTAGAGTTCCAACGTGGCGTGATACTATTGGTCGGTATCATAATATGGTATCATAATAATGGATTGGCTAACATCTATAAATGCCTATGATTTTCTGTAACAAGATTGAACCCCGTAGTAAAGTGCTTCCCTCACACTTTGCGCCTTTTCTCTGGTCTTCCAGTCGCGCTGAGTAGTTCTAGCTCGGGGGTTACGGAACTAGCTTAGGGAAGCGAATATATCGTTCGATCGGCCAGACGTAACAAGTTAGACATTAACACCATTAGATGCCGGCTCAATGGCCTAACAGTTAAACTTTCGCGCGCGAGATCGAAGGTTCTGGGTTTGGATCCCGTGTGCGGGGTTGTTGGACACGCACTGTTTTGGAGTCTCATATAAGGATGAAACGTTCGTTCAATGGTTTCAGGTTTCCAATTGTGCTTTAGTTTACATCGACTCATGAATTCAACTAATACAAAAAAAATAATTTAAGAAAACAGTTTGTAGGTATTCCTACAAAATTCAGTTCCACTTAATAATAACAATAATAATATCAACAATACTAATCAATAATAGTTAATATTATACAAATGAAAATACAAATTGTACTGACCAATACAATCGAGTTTCCACTCTACATTAATTGTTTTAATATCAAAATTGGTTTTTGTAGTCTAGAAGTTAAGCGTTCGTGCACAAGACCGATAAATTCTGGGTTCGAATCTTGCGTGGTGGGATCGTGGATGCTCACTGGTGAAGAGTCTCACAGTGGGACGAGACGGTCGTTCAGTACTTCCAGGTTTTCCATGATTATCTAGCTTCAATTAACTCATAATCTCAACTAATAAAATTACAATTTATCTCTCTCTGATTATTGATTTTAATTATTATTGATTAACAATTAGAATAGTTTAAATTTTCTAAATAACTGACAAATCAATAAATTTATTGATTATATGTAACCATCAAATTATTGATGTTAAAGTTTATTGAATCATTGAACTACTATTATTTTCTGAAAGGGTTTTGTGGATATTATAGTAATTTTGATAGGTGAGTTCATGAATCAATAATAATCAACATATGCTTATTAGTGACTGGGTCCATGAGGTACTTCCTGGAGTTCTAGTGAGAAACAGTGATCGGTGGAGTTCAACAAGGTCTGTTGTGAGATAGTAACTGACTGAAGACATTGGTGGATGTGTCGCCCAATTTCGTTGATTGATTAAAGTTAGACATTGACACCGTTGGATGCCGGCTAGCTCAGTGGTCTAGAGATCAAGTGCTCACGCGCGAAACTGATAAGTTCTGGGTTGAAATCTCGTGAGACGAGATCGTGGATGCTCACTGCTGAAGAGTCTCACAAAAGAACGAAACGGTCGTTCAGTACTTCCAGGTTTTCCATGGTAGTCTAGCTTAAATCAATTCATGATCTCAACTATTAAAATTACTACCATTTTGATTGAGATTATGAGTTGATTGATGTTAAACTACTACTGAAAACCTAGAAGAATTGGACGGCCGTTTCTTCCTAGTATGTGACTCCTTAATAGTGTGCAATCACAATCTGGCATACGGATATATACTGCTGAGTAGTCCAATACTAGGACGACACCTCTGTCTAATGTTTTCAGGTTTCTAATGGTAGTCTAACATTAATTAATTCATGATCTTAAT